GACTCAACCCTTTTAATAAGTCATAAGACTGACCAACATGAACTTTCTCCTAACAATATCAGCACAATCAAGGGAAATGGTTATGACAGTCGATAAAATTATCACCAAAAACAGTGTGGAGAATTTGTATGTAGATATTGGGGCTTAAAGGTTCTCATCGTAACAAAGACGTAACTTACTATTTAGAACAGTTATGGCTTCTTTGCTTGTGCATGTATAACTGCTACAGTTCGCGTTTCCTTTTTACCGGTATTTATGGCACTATATAACTGTTGTACCGTTTTCTAAATGTACGGAAACTGGCTAAGCAGCAGTAACAATTTTGTTTCGAATCTTCGAATCTTTCGTTGTGAAGACGTCGTGAACCAAACCATGTGCTTAATTACCTGAACGCTTTGATCGTATGGTAAGTTTTTCAGAGCTCCTACAACATTTCAGTTTCCACCCCGACAGTGATTTAGTTTTTCTTTTGCGGAGGTTTTTACTAACAAGATGAAGTTTTATTAAGCCATGATGAGATTGTGACTTGTTGTGTTGATCAAGAACGAGCTGACGTGTGCAAGTCTGATTCCCCATTAAAGTTGTGTTTTCAACAATCTTCTTTTGTGTGCAAAGCGCACTTTATCCCCTGGACAGACATAACACTGAAACAAAATGAACCTTCAAGTTCCCAATTTTCTCATCGCACCAAGCGTGGGCTCATTATCCTGCACGTGTATTTTGTTTGTTTGTTTGTTTGTTTTTTTTTTTTCAGGAGAATGTTATTTTAGGCAGTGACTACCCGTTTCCTCTCGGAGAACATTATCCAGGAAAACTCATCCAGGATGTGTACAAAGACGACCTGGAACTTAGGGTAAGAGAACAATCACATTCAGTTTCACGGGTTTTTTGCCATTGATAAAACGCCGCCGTCGTCGTTGCTTAAACTCCTTATTGTTGTGATGCGGAAATTTTGCTACCATGGTAACGTGACGTCACACTTCTCCTCTCTACAAACATTGGTATTGCTTGATTACATTGGAACCTCGATTACTCGCTTTCGCTAAAACGAGGTTAGGTTATATCGAGGTTCTTTTCCATACATTATACTATAATTGGGGCAGAAAATATCGTTCGTTATACCGAGGACTTCGTTATATCGAGTTCCGTTATATGGAGGTTCCACTGTACGAAAGAGAATGAGAAATAGTCCTCACCCCTCTCCCCATGTTTTGACTTTTGTCCCAATTCGCTCATTCCCATCCCTTTGAATCCCGCATAATCTCCAGCCCCTCCCCCCTTCCCCCACCAATTCTCTCTTGCAGAGGCTTAGTCCTACCCTGCTTTAGTATATTGTTCTACATGTACTTAGCAATTCAACAGTTATTCAACAAATATTAGTGGAGATCGAACAAAATGGTTCTCAATTAATTCCCTGTTATTTTGGAAAGTAGGTGAAGTAAGTAATTGTATGGGGGGGGGGGGGCATTTGCCAATCATCAAATCTCTCGTTCATCATTCGATTCAGTCCCCTATTTTTACGTAAGAACGTCGGGATCGAAGACTCTGCGTTACGGGCGGCCATATTGCATGGGTGAAGCCCGAACCCCACTCCCTCGGTTCAAGTGTAACGGAAATAACCGTCCGTTCCGGTAAGCTAGCGCTCTATCCTGTCTCCTTTATGGACTGCAAAACAGTAATTCTCCGAAAAGCGAACATTGTCAAAATTTCCTTGAAGAAATGCAATCCCTTTTTCCCTTACTTCGTCCACGGAAGACTTCATAATTGTCGCTTGAAAACCTTGATCTCGCCCGTCTCGTTTTTCGCCAGATTGCGAAAAAGGGCCATAAATAAGGTCAAAAAGTCGACCGGAAGCGTTCCGAGAGGAAGCTCGATCATTTAACCGGAATTCCCTCTTCATTTTGCCAAACTACCGCTGATTAATTAATTGAGTAACGAAAACTCACCCTCCCTCTACGCCCATGGAAAATTGTCACCCATACAGTGGAAAGCTAAGAGTGCAGAGAACTGAATAATTCAATGTTTTTCTGTTAGTTATATAATGAAGTAGCTTTTAAAAGTGAACAGACTATTATGTCTGATAAATGCATTTAGAAGGAGTTTATTTATAATGTCCTTTGTTTTTCGGCATCTTGGTGTCTTGCTTTTTCAAAAGAGCCTTGCTGAAGGAAACAAGTCTAAACAGTGTTAATTATTGAAACAAGTTCTTATTTATTGGTAACTAGTCTTGTACTTTAGACAATGATATACATGTGAATACGTTATTTAAAGCGGTTAAGAATGGCTTTACAGTAAAAGTTAAAAATATCTATATTCAAGTCAGCTGTCAGGTGCAGAACGAAGTTGATGTTACTCGATTAGCCTTGTTTCAGTTCAGTGAGGGTCAGTTTCGATCCTCAAAACGTAATAACGACGTGGTCATTTGGCCGGCCGCCACTATCTTGCTATTAAAATTAATTATCAGGCGAGCTTGTACCCTAAAATATAAAAACTCATGTACGTTTGTGGTTATGAGATTAGCGAGTGGAAAACATGCCAGACCGTACGAAATGGGTCTGAGTTTTATAAAAAGAGAAACTAAAACTCGTCTTTGGGCGTTCGCATTGCACGACGTAGTTGAGTGGAAAATAGTAATTAAAGGTATAAAAATGTTTCTATCCTTTTTCATTGTTTGTTTTGCTATTTGAAAGCTGGTTTACACACAGCGATTGTATGCCCGATTTATCTCCAAAGAAAATAAATGGTGATGCAACAGATTATTTTAATCTATCCGGTTTTCAGCCAGTTTTAACCTTTTCGTTTTTCTTTCGAAAAATCATAGCGTGACAACCGGCTTAAAGCCCTTCAGTTACAAGAGCAAGTTTTCTTCAATAAGGAAAACTTCCTCCGCCGTTGCTGCGTAAGCCCCATTATGTTACGTACTCATGACTCACATTTTGTTATCGCTCGGGAAGGAAGCTGCCTCTAACATAAATGTCTCGCAATTGTTTTGCAGCAAGTATGGGCTGCAAAAAGGAAGGTCACGTTCCAAATTATGTAACGACGTCTGCTACAGCAAAAATAAGAACAAGGACGTTGCGGCTCTCTTATTGACCAACTCCATAGATCATAATGGCCGGGGTGGGGTGGGGGTGAGGGGGCGGCTTCTCAACTAAGTTTTATATGGGGATCAGGCTCCGCCCCGAGGACTAACCCCTTAACCCTGCACTTACCATTTTGACAGACAAGATACCCTTTCCTATACTTTCCATTGACAAACGGTGTCTTTCAACATACCTCGTTGAGAACTTTACTTCCCTTTTTTTAATGTTATAAATGCACTCTTTTAAATATGAAACAGGAAAATCACGAAACCAGAACGTTTTCTCGAGTTTTTAACACATGTAAACCCTGTCTACGTCTGAATGTACGCTTTTTTATGAAAGTTACTGTTATTTTAGCTGTTGTAGCCAAGAGTTCAGGAAGTAAAAAGACGGGGACGATCGGTTCAGCGCGGGATGAAAGGAATGAGCAGTCTCTGCCAAGAAGAGTTACCGAAAACCCTGAAAATAATATTGTTTACTATACATGTAGAAATTTAGTTTGTGGCCGACCCCCACCATACAAACGTCTGTAAAATTTGGCGACATTGAGGAGCTATATCTTGGTTAGTTTCCAACAAATCCGACTTTTAGACTTTGCATTTTTTCTAATTTGAAGGCGTTCTTTCCATAGGTTGCTTTAGCTTGTCCATGTCAAAAGTTGAAAATAACGTGGAATAGTCTATCCTGAATTGAAAGAGGTATCCTTTTGGGCAGCGCCTCCCCGTATAGATTATTATAGGGACCCCCCACTCCCCACTCAGCCATCAAGGTATAAGATATTGGAGTTTAAAAATAAACACACTAACATTAGACACGTTAAAGCTTGCTTAGCTGGAGCTTAATGGAGCCGCTACTTTTTCTGATATAACATAGCCAACTTGGACTGAAGGCAAAGTTATATTTTTGGAAAGGGATCGGGTACTGTTAGAAGCACAAAATCGTGATAGCGTGCATAAAATTTTGCTACTTTTGTAACGATTTATATTCTGCCATTTATTTTTGGAATGTTCATCTTTTGACCCTGTTTCAGTACTCTGAAACGGGCCTATGAACAGAGAATAAAAAACTTGCCATATAAGGAAATTAAAAGAAACAAGCAAAAACAAACAAACAATAAACAGGAACAGAGGATTTACTTAAAATATTTGCTATATTAATTGGTGAGCACGTAGCACTGATTTGAGAAAACGCTGTGTTCTCGTTCAACTCTTACCGCCATGGTTCAGTATTTCGCTGTTTTCCTGATTCTCTCTTTTTCTGGCGGCTCACTGGGAACAACCACCTCACCTCAGCAACAAAACGCCACAGAGGTAAGACTTATGCCAGGTAAGAAATGCATAAAGATATAAAAAGAAGTACTGCGCCCTAGATTAGGTACACCAAGAAACTGTTTCACTATATATAGTCTCACGTTGTTACGATCATTTACTAAATGGTACCCGTTAACAGTGTATGGCAGTTTATTTAAAAGTCCTCGCTTCAGCATGATCTTTCCTCGAAAACCTGAAGCCTGTCCATTGTTAACTGTTAATTTTCTCTGATTGCATCCAAGTCCATTAGAGGCGTGATAACGCTTTAAAGAGGATTATGATGTCCAAGGTCCATTCCGTGCCTCGAAAACAAGGGAGACGGCCGGTGATGCAGACTTTGTTCATTTTGGTGTGGAATCATTGTTTGCGAGGGAGCTACGGGCGTGTATGAACGGAATTATCCTTTCATTTCCAAAAGAGAATTAATCTAAGTAAAAATGACATGCATTAATTCTTAGAGACAAGGTCCTAAAACTGGTATGGATTTTAGAGGCCAAGTCTGAAAACGGGTGTAAAAAATGACGTGTTTTGGTCTGAAATAGAATCAGGATTTGGGTAACTGGGCGGCACATCCCCACCAAGAATTCCCAGGAGTACATCAACCCCNCCGGGGCCACACGGACCTCAGGGAAGGGAAGGTGTAAAAGGACAAATTGGTGATAAAGGATCACAAGGAATGCCGGGTCCAAGAGGAGACAGAGGGCGCGAAGGAACCCCTGGGAAGAGCGGACCCCGAGGAATTAAGGGAATGAAAGGTGAACAGGGACTTCTGGGAATAAAAGGAGAGGCAGGCATTGCGGGAACGAAAGGCAAGCAAGGGGCTGTGGGAATGAAAGGAGTGCGCGGAGCTGTGGGAATAAAAGGGGAGCGAGGCATTGCGGGAATGAAAGGAAGAAAAGGAGACAAAGGAGAGAAAGGAGAAAGCGCTCAAGCAAGTGTAGTACCACAAACCAACTGGAAACAATGTGTGTGGAAATCAGCTAGCAGTACTGATAACGGAAAGATTAAGGTAAGTAGAATAAGAATCATAACACACTCCTAAGAAAATTCATTCCTTTTTAAATTAAAATGTTTTAAAGAAGAACGTCTCCCTTCTCACTCACCATTTTCCAACACATTACATAAATAGCTAAGTTACATTTCTCTCTTCTTTGGTTCTTTTTGAAGGAAAAAAGGAAAGCCATCTTGGGTGATATAAGGATTCCTGGTCATATGGATAAGGATAACGAAAATTGAAGCTATTACAGAGTTTTTCAAAATTAGGAAGTAATCTTGACTGGAGTTGTTAGTATCAATCATTACACACGGTTGCTTGCATTACTACAATATGTTTGATTTGTTTGATTTTGATTTTTATTCCAGGACTGTGTGTTTAACAAACTGCAGTCTAATTCAGCGCTCAGAGTCTCATTCCAGGGCAACATGGGGGTCCAAGGTCCTAGACCTCGGTGTAATCGCTGGTATTTCAAGTTCAATGGAAATGAATGCAGTGGACCAATGACGATTGAGGCTGTTGTTTTCAACTGGTGGCCAAAATCTGGGGACCCTACTCTGCTGCATCATCGGTCATTTGAGGGGTACTGTGAAAACATCCCACAAGGCGTTGTTAGAGTGGAATTATGGGTAGGACAGTGTACTGGCGTGACCCTGGGTAATGCTGTAACTGGGTGGAGATCAGTGTCTCGGATAATGATTGAAGAAGTATCTAGGCCCCAGTCCTAGTAAGGGGAGTCTTTAACTTTGGCGCCGTTCTAATTTCCTTAGAATAGCATTCTACAAATATAGACTGTAAAGCGCAAGGTGCGAAAGTATTGTTTTTGGTTATTTTCTTTTTAGCCCTTTGTGAAATACTTTCGTCGTATATCACTGATTGTCAATAGTAAACTCTTATAACAGTATCATGATTTTGTATTATCATGTCGGTCAGTGTTATATTAGTCCTGTGCAGCAGCTCTTTGTTTTGTTACGCAGTGCTTCTCTAGCTTTTTGGCGGGGAGGCACCTTTCGTGACGACACAATAACCGGCTGAGCCCGTAGGGAATTGCTCTCCGATGCAGCCGTTTGTCTCAGGGCGGATAAAGGTTGGGCGGTGAAACGAGCGTTCCGCTCTTCATTTAATGTGTGATGAGGAGTAGGACTGGCACGAGCGCTCTTTCCGCGCTTCCGGTGCGCTTGAAGGCCGGCGAAATTTTCCTTTTTGGAAACCGGAAATCCTATTTTCTTTCTGTAATTTCAGGCTACAATGTTAAATAGATAAATTCGTTTCATAACAATATCAACAAACACTTTCATATGTTTGTGTCTGTACGTCTATAAGTCAAACTTGTTGGTCGTATAATGCCAAAATTTGATTTTTATTTGAAAGTGTTGAATACCTCCCCCTTCCACTAAATATCACCTAATCGTCTTTCACCGTTTCGTTTGCAAAAGCTTAACACTTCTTGACCTTAGTTTTTACATATGTTAAAGGGGGATAAATTTTATATAACATAACAAAAAATTAGATTGATATATATTGATATAGTGGCGTTGTACTTCTTCAAACTTTGCTTCTCGGGTGCAACGCGCCATGGCGATTCGCGCAATGCGTTGCAAATCCGGCAACCGCATGTAAACAAAATTTATTGAGGTTAGTTGTAAGGTTTTTTCTCGGTTTTTCTCTCTAAAACAAAACGAATCGGGTTACCATGTATACCATCAGATTGTCGGTCGTTTCCTAAGTCTATAATATGTAGTCAAAGTAGAGGTCGTGATATAATCTTTCATCTCAACGATAAAAAAAATCTGCGGAAGAGATAACCGTCGCATTTAAAATATTTTCGTCTGGAAAATCTTTAATCCAATCCGGAAGTGAAAACGATTTAATTAAATCAAACGGCACGATTCCTTTTGTAGCCAAACCGCTTCGAGGCAAGATCATTACTAAAAGCGGATTAGATTTCGAGGATTAAAATCGCACCTTGTACAATTTATATCAATTAGCTAGGAAGATGAATATGATGATAGAATAACTTGATAATCTCTAGCATACGTGGCAAACGTTCGAAAGGCAGCGGAGGAAGGGAATGTAAGAGCGAGACCGCGCGCGAGGGAGAAGCGAGGAGAGGAACGCGTTCTCCTTCCCCATTCCTCGCGCGCCCTTCACGCTTTTCAAGTTCACAAAATCTCCTTTTCCTTCCCTTTGGAACACCTGGCACGCAGGCTAGATTATCTCTCAAACAGTACAAAATGGAATGTTTTTATTCGTAACGTTGAGATTCTTGTCAAACCTTTGCATTACCTTCATAGCATCTTTGTTTTATTTCTTGCATGTCAGTTTAGTTTGCTTCAATGTGTCATGCATTATGTACAAATCTTGTCCATTATTTTTCTTAACAAACAAGATTGAACTCCTTATGTCCGCTCCTTAACAGAGAAATTCCCGTACAGTCTCACAATATTGATCTATCCAATGCAGCTATTTGTAGCCTTGCCTGTTCGAGTGCATTTATGAAGAATGAAGTAACTTGAAGTTCCCAGAGTTTCTTAACTTAGAAATCTTTGGATACCTAAATCATCAGTGCTGTATGGGTATACCCAGTAGGGGATACCGTATGGGTATACCCGGTAGGGGATACCGTATGGGTATTCCCGGTTCGATCCCCGTAGAGGATGCCCATACAGTAAGTTATATCAAGTTAAGTTATGCCGGACCGTCGCAGCACGAACTTCAAGAGTACAATTCCTTTTAATTAGCAAGGCTTTTATTGCTTTGAACGTTTTTATTCCAAAGTTTAACTACTTTATCCTTTTCTGTGTTTTTTTATGGTTTCCTTAAAAATACTGACACTTTTGTCTTAGCCTGATAACAACTGATCGCCCTTGGAGAGTATTCTTTTCTATCATCCTAACCGAAAAAAAAAGTTTCCTCGATGTTTCAGCCGAAGGTGAACTAATAAAAGGTTAGAATAGCCAAAAAAAAAAAAAAGACTCTGTCCCGGGGCCACACGGACCTCAGGGAAGGGAAGGTGTAAAAGGACAAATTGGTGATAAAGGATCACAAGGAATGCCGGGTCCAAGAGGAGACAGAGGGCGCGAAGGAACCCCTGGGAAGAGCGGACCCCGAGGAATTAAGGGAATGAAAGGTGAACAGGGACTTCTGGGAATAAAAGGAGAGGCAGGCATTGCGGGAACGAAAGGCAAGCAAGGGGCTGTGGGAATGAAAGGAGTGCGCGGAGCTGTGGGAATAAAAGGGGAGCGAGGCATTGCGGGAATGAAAGGAAGAAAAGGAGACAAAGGAGAGAAAGGAGAAAGCGCTCAAGCAAGTGTAGTACCACAAACCAACTGGAAACAATGTGTGTGGAAATCAGCTAGCAGTACTGATAACGGAAAGATTAAGGTAAGTAGAATAAGAATCATAACACACTCCTAAGAAAATTCATTCCTTTTTAAATTAAAATGTTTTAAAGAAGAACGTCTCCCTTCTCACTCACCATTTTCCAACACATTACATAAATAGCTAAGTTACATTTCTCTCTTCTTTGGTTCTTTTTGAAGGAAAAAAGGAAAGCCATCTTGGGTGATATAAGGATTCCTGGTCATATGGATAAGGATAACGAAAATTGAAGCTATTACAGAGTTTTTCAAAATTAGGAAGTAATCTTGACTGGAGTTGTTAGTATCAATCATTACACACGGTTGCTTGCATTACTACAATATGTTTGATTTGTTTGATTTTGATTTTTATTCCAGGACTGTGTGTTTAACAAACTGCAGTCTAATTCAGCGCTCAGAGTCTCATTCCAGGGCAACATGGGGGTCCAAGGTCCTAGACCTCGGTGTAATCGCTGGTATTTCAAGTTCAATGGAAATGAATGCAGTGGACCAATGACGATTGAGGCTGTTGTTTTCAACTGGTGGCCAAAATCTGGGGACCCTACTCTGCTGCATCATCGGTCATTTGAGGGGTACTGTGAAAACATCCCACAAGGCGTTGTTAGAGTGGAATTATGGGTAGGACAGTGTACTGGCGTGACCCTGGGTAATGCTGTAACTGGGTGGAGATCAGTGTCTCGGATAATGATTGAAGAAGTATCTAGGCCCCAGTCCTAGTAAGGGGAGTCTTTAACTTTGGCGCCGTTCTAATTTCCTTAGAATAGCATTCTACAAATATAGACTGTAAAGCGCAAGGTGCGAAAGTATTGTTTTTGGTTATTTTCTTTTTAGCCCTTTGTGAAATACTTTCGTCGTATATCACTGATTGTCAATAGTAAACTCTTATAACAGTATCATGATTTTGTATTATCATGTCGGTCAGTGTTATATTAGTCCTGTGCAGCAGCTCTTTGTTTTGTTACGCAGTGCTTCTCTAGCTTTTTGGCGGGGAGGCACCTTTCGTGACGACACAATAACCGGCTGAGCCCGTAGGGAATTGCTCTCCGATGCAGCCGTTTGTCTCAGGGCGGATAAAGGTTGGGCGGTGAAACGAGCGTTCCGCTCTTCATTTAATGTGTGATGAGGAGTAGGACTGGCACGAGCGCTCTTTCCGCGCTTCCGGTGCGCTTGAAGGCCGGCGAAATTTTCCTTTTTGGAAACCGGAAATCCTATTTTCTTTCTGTAATTTCAGGCTACAATGTTAAATAGATAAATTCGTTTCATAACAATATCAACAAACACTTTCATATGTTTGTGTCTGTACGTCTATAAGTCAAACTTGTTGGTCGTATAATGCCAAAATTTGATTTTTATTTGAAAGTGTTGAATACCTCCCCCTTCCACTAAATATCACCTAATCGTCTTTCACCGTTTCGTTTGCAAAAGCTTAACACTTCTTGACCTTAGTTTTTACATATGTTAAAGGGGGATAAATTTTATATAACATAACAAAAAATTAGATTGATATATATTGATATAGTGGCGTTGTACTTCTTCAAACTTTGCTTCTCGGGTGCAACGCGCCATGGCGATTCGCGCAATGCGTTGCAAATCCGGCAACCGCATGTAAACAAAATTTATTGAGGTTAGTTGTAAGGTTTTTTCTCGGTTTTTCTCTCTAAAACAAAACGAATCGGGTTACCATGTATACCATCAGATTGTCGGTCGTTTCCTAAGTCTATAATATGTAGTCAAAGTAGAGGTCGTGATATAATCTTTCATCTCAACGATAAAAAAAATCTGCGGAAGAGATAACCGTCGCATTTAAAATATTTTCGTCTGGAAAATCTTTAATCCAATCCGGAAGTGAAAACGATTTAATTAAATCAAACGGCACGATTCCTTTTGTAGCCAAACCGCTTCGAGGCAAGATCATTACTAAAAGCGGATTAGATTTCGAGGATTAAAATCGCACCTTGTACAATTTATATCAATTAGCTAGGAAGATGAATATGATGATAGAATAACTTGATAATCTCTAGCATACGTGGCAAACGTTCGAAAGGCAGCGGAGGAAGGGAATGTAAGAGCGAGACCGCGCGCGAGGGAGAAGCGAGGAGAGGAACGCGTTCTCCTTCCCCATTCCTCGCGCGCCCTTCACGCTTTTCAAGTTCACAAAATCTCCTTTTCCTTCCCTTTGGAACACCTGGCACGCAGGCTAGATTATCTCTCAAACAGTACAAAATGGAATGTTTTTATTCGTAACGTTGAGATTCTTGTCAAACCTTTGCATTACCTTCATAGCATCTTTGTTTTATTTCTTGCATGTCAGTTTAGTTTGCTTCAATGTGTCATGCATTATGTACAAATCTTGTCCATTATTTTTCTTAACAAACAAGATTGAACTCCTTATGTCCGCTCCTTAACAGAGAAATTCCCGTACAGTCTCACAATATTGATCTATCCAATGCAGCTATTTGTAGCCTTGCCTGTTCGAGTGCATTTATGAAGAATGAAGTAACTTGAAGTTCCCAGAGTTTCTTAACTTAGAAATCTTTGGATACCTAAATCATCAGTGCTGTATGGGTATACCCAGTAGGGGATACCGTATGGGTATACCCGGTAGGGGATACCGTATGGGTATTCCCGGTTCGATCCCCGTAGAGGATGCCCATACAGTAAGTTATATCAAGTTAAGTTATGCCGGACCGTCGCAGCACGAACTTCAAGAGTACAATTCCTTTTAATTAGCAAGGCTTTTATTGCTTTGAACGTTTTTATTCCAAAGTTTAACTACTTTATCCTTTTCTGTGTTTTTTTATGGTTTCCTTAAAAATACTGACACTTTTGTCTTAGCCTGATAACAACTGATCGCCCTTGGAGAGTATTCTTTTCTATCATCCTAACCGAAAAAAAAAGTTTCCTCGATGTTTCAGCCGAAGGTGAACTAATAAAAGGTTAGAATAGCCAAAAAAAAAAAAAAGACTCCTATAATAAAAAGTACAAATTAACGTAAAACAAGTGTCGACCCTGCACCGACCATATAGGAACTCCACTGATTTCGTATTTGGATCGGAGGATACTAAGACGTTGGCGAACAGGACGTTATCGAAACGAATCATGACACCAAACTTTTCATGAGCCGAACCTGATCGATACATTGAATAAAGTACATGAAAAGTTCGACGTCATGTGAATCAATTAGGAACGCCTGGTTTAATTTGACACAGCTCAGCCATTCTTTTCGCCTAGCCTGGCTGGGAATTTTGCCTTTGGAGCGACTTTGGAAAGGCTTTGAATTAGATGCCGAACTTTTCCTGTGTCGAACCTAATGCATAAATTATTTTACGTATTTCGTAAGCAGTTGGACCGAAATGAGCATTTTTAGCCTTTTGAATTTAGTTCAGCCGAAATTAAGATCGGCGTGTTTGAATCAATTCAGCTGGTCTAAATAATTGGGTCAGCCTTAATTCGAATTAGGTTCGGCTTATGAAAAGTTCGGCGTCTGAACCGGGCCTAAGACGGCCCTTTTGTCGCATCCAACAGTGTCTGTGAGAGTTAACTGTATTGTAGCAGTGTTTAATTAATTTTGTTAGATTTATTATGTGTAATCTCACAATACTTTCTACACCACAAACAGAACTCGGGGGGGGGGGGGGGTACTTCCTTATAAGAGGCTAATGGGGATGTGACGCTGGATGGGGTCGCATTTTCACAAATGGATTGACTACAATGAGGTCGCATTTTCAATATATTTACTAGAATGGGTTCGCACATTTTCGGATTTTTGGGGGTAAGACGTCTTCATAATAACAAAACGTACCGGGACGTTTGTACTGCAGGTGAAAATTAAAGTGTTCTTCATTCGGTTAAAAAAAAAAAAAAAAGAAAAGAAAAAATAAAATTTGTCAGTTCATAAAAATAGAAAGTGGCTAAGTCGGGATCTCAAAAAATACATATTTGCCCAAAAGTGGCCAAGATGGGGTCTATAATTGGTCACAAAATAGACTATAATGGGGTAGGGGTTCTGAGAGGCCAGTGGCACATACCCAGCAAAAATTTACCCAAGTACCCTCCCCCCGGGAAACAGAACCTTAAATGTATCATTCGTTATAATATTGAATGTTGCAGAAAGTACATTGGTCAAATTTATACAGATAGTCTTGTCCATGATGAAAAAGCTCTTAAATTACTGGTTGACACTATTGGCCAGGTAAAGAGTTTAGTGACTTTTTGGTTATGATCTATTTCATTAATATACATTGAAATTTTGCAAGCAAAATTTAACAAGACGTGACGTGTACTTAAAGGGGGTTATGTCACGCTATTTGCTATCGTTTGTCTTTGCATCAATTGAATTCTAAAAGTGACGGTCCAGGTTTGTTATTTCAGACTATATTCTGTTTCCTGTCGTCTGTTTCTAGGAACGGCAAGGATGTATGTGGATTGAAACTTAGTTTTGATGCCATGCCAGCAAAAATCACTAGAAAAGTATTCTCGCTAGTGCTCTCTGATGAAATTTGTTTAATTTATATTTTTCCATCACTCTCAAGGAGCATTTTGTGTATGGTAAAAGCATTAAGTAATAAGGTCAGCTCAGAATCGACCTAAAACAGCAATATTCCCATGGCTTAGCTCCCTTAATAAACAGACAAAATGTGCCATATCAATGGGATGTAAAATGACTTAACCCTTTTAATAAGTCATAAGACTGACCAACATAAACTTTCTCCTAATAATATCAGCACAGTCAAGGGAAATGGTTATAAGAGTTGATAAAATGATCAGTTTGGAGAATTTGTATGTAGATATTGGGGCTTAAAGGTTAATTCTCATCGTAAGAAAGACGCGACTTGCTATTTAAGACAGTTATGGCTTATTTGCTTGTACATGTATAACTGCTGCAGTTCACGTTTCGTTTTTACCGTTATTTAATGGCACTATAACTGATGAATCCAATCCATTTTCCAAGAGTCTTTTAAATGTACGGAAACTGGCTAAGCAGCAATAACAATTTTGTTTCGAATCATCGAATCTTTCGTTGTGAAAACGTCGTGAAACAAACGATGTTCTTAATTACCTGTAACGCTTTGGTGCGAGTTTCTCATCGTATGGTAAATTTTTCAGAGCTCCTACAACATTTCAATTTCCACCCCAAAAGTGATTTAGTTTTTCTTTGTCGTAGGTTCAGTTTACTGACAAGGTGAAGTTTTAGTAAGCCACGATGAGATTATGACTTGTTGTGTTGATCAAGAACGAGCTAACGAGTGCAAGTCTGAGTGCCCATTAAAGTTGTGTTTTCAACAATCTTCGTTTCTGTGCGAAGCGCACTTGTCCCCTGGACAGACATAACACTGAAAAAAAAAGTAAATAAACCTTCAAGTTCCCAATTTTCTCATTGCAGCAAGCGTGGGCTCATTATCCTGCATGTGTATTTTGTTTTTGTTTTTGTTTGTTTTTTTTTTTCAGGAGAATGTTATTTTAGGCAGTGACTACCCGTTTCCGTTGGGAGAACATCATCCAGGAAAACTCATCGAGGATGTGTACAAAGACGACCTGGAACTAATGGTAAGAGAACAATCACACTCAGTTTCACGTTTTTTTCTTTTTTTTTTTGCCATTGAGAAGACGCCGCCGCCGTCGTTTTTTAACTCCCTATTGTTGTGATCCAGAAATTTTGCTACCATGGTAACGTGAGGTCACATTTCTCCTCTCTATAAACATTGGTATCGTTTGAT